ACCATCGTGTTTCCTTGACTCAGAGCATTCAGTTAGATTCTTTCCACTGCTTAGCATGCCTTCTCATATTGCTGTAAAAACTAATGTTTTTTTATTATTATTATTATTCAACTTCACACTATGCATTTTAGATCCTTTTATCTTCTCTGGCCCTAACTCTTCCAGCCTGCCTGGGTTATTCACTGAGGTCATCTTGTTAATTCATTCTCTTAAGTTTATTGGTTTGCTATAATTGTATCTTTTTCTGGATTCAAAGACAGGCTTATATTTGTTGTTCATTTTTAATCCCTCTTGCTTGTTTACACATACTTGTACCTCTCCTTACATGCTTGAAATCTAGAAACCAAATTCAGTGTCTTCATAATGTTCATGATTAATTAACCTCACATGTCAGACTTGTCCTACTTTCCTAAACTCATCTTCCTCTAGATTACCTTCTCTTGTCTTACCCACAAACTGATACTAGGACTGTAGATTTTAGCCTCTTATTAAGAATTATTCAGCTTTGCACATTACAGCAGTCTTACTGCTTTTTAGCATTTTTGTTTTTTGTATCTGATACCTTACTCTGTGGCAGAATACCTGTGCAATAATTCCATGTTTGTATTTCATTCTGGTGTAGAATGAACAGCTCTCTAGTCATTTGCCTTAGGCTTGACCCCTGTATTCCATCCTTATACTGTTTTCACCACAATGCAGATCTGTTCAATAGAACTGTTTATCCATAAAGCTTTAGCATATGAGGACATTATATATGCAATAGTGGTTGAATAATTTCCTCAAAATCACATAACCAGCCTATCTGTGAGGTATTTTCTGCTAAACTAGTTGTGAACACTGGTGTGAAACTATTATTTGAGCCAGGCATGATGGCACACATCCATAAGCCCAGCACCGAGGAGGCTGAGGCAGGATTTTGAGTTTTAAATCATCCTGGGATGAATAGTGAGTGAGACTTGGTCTCAAAAAACAAAAACCTTGGTATTTTAAAGGAATACTAGATGCCTGATATTTCCCTCCAAGAAAAGTAATGCTGAAGATCTTGGAGTCTTAAAGAGCTGCTCAGAGAAAATCCTGAACCTGGATCATGTCATGTGGGGTTACCTCGGTCCCTTTATTCATATACTTCCCTAATCTTGATATTTTTCCCTTCCTTTTATTCTTTTTAAAAAAGTCACTTCACAGATTACTGAGTTATTAATATCATACTTACCAGTAATCTTTTATGTGCCCTAAAATATGCCAACTAAGAGGGTTTCAAAACAGGCATAAAACTTAATCACTTCCCTGAAGGGACATAGGTGTGTATTTGAATGAAGTCATCTTCTGGTTCAGTGGTTCTCCACCTTCCTAATGCTGTGACTCTTTAATACAGTTCCTCATGATGTAGTGACCCCCCAACCATAAAATTATTTCATTGCTACTTCATAACTGTAATTTTGCTACTGGTATGAATAGTAATGTAAATATCTGATAGGCAGGATATCTGTTATGTGACCTCAACCATAGGTTGAGAACCCCTGTTCTAGTTCTTAGCCCAGGAATGAATTATTTCTAATAGTTAGCTTAATGAATTTTTATACATGTAACTACTAGTCAGATAAAGATATTGAACCTGTATATGACATAATAAAACTTCATTCTCTTTCCTAGTTAGTATATTCCAAAGGTATCAATCACCATCAATCTAGATTGTATTTACTCTTGAACTTCATTAAAAATATGAAAGCAAGTTTTTTTTTTTTTTATAGTTTTCTTTATTCAACCTAGTGTCTGTAAGGTTCTTTTTTTTTTTTTTTGTGACAGGGTTTCTCTGTGTAACCCTGGCTGTCCTAGAACTTGCTCTGTAGATCAGGCTGGCCTCACAGATATCCGTCTCCCTCTGCCTCCCAAGTGCTGGGAATAAAGGCATGTGCCATCACTGCCTAGCTTCATTCATTTTTCAAAATTAGCAATAGTTTATTTTTGTTCATTGCTGTATGTTGTTCCATTGTATGTGTACATGAGTACATATTCTGTTGTTGGATATTTGGGCTAAGAACTCTTAGCTTTTAGAAAAACAGCTACTAATAACAGTTTTGTACATGTGTTTTGGTGGGCATATAGATTCCTTGGCTATAACCAGGAGTTACTTTCAGTATATTTGACATACAAGGACACATTGAGTTTACATAAAGGTTCTGAGCTGCAAAAGCTTTATATAGGTCTCCAGATTGGCAGTGAGATATTAGTAGTAGGTCTCTCTGCATGATCTCCAGAATCCAGATGGTGGTCTATCTAGAAGAAGGCATGTCTGTTCGGGCCTGTGTCTTCTATCTCAGCCCCTCCTCCATAATTTTTGGTTGGGGAAAGAGGCTCTTATTCCCATTGGTGTGTTGTGGAAATCTTAAAAGAACAGTGTTGAAATAGTTACAAGATTTTAAAAGGAATTCCTAAGCATTGTTTTAGGGGATATTTTAAATTAGAAAGGTCATTGTGTGAACCAGGCTGGGCTGCAACTTATAGATCTGTCTGACCCTTCCCAGGTTAAGGTGTATACCACCACTCCTGGCCCATTTTCCCCTTAGAGAAAATTATTGAATGATTATCACAAAATCATAAAGTTTCAAAGGCCTAAGTCTCAGGTGCAGTCACTGTTCTCATTTTTGTGTATGCTTCTACAAATAGTAGATGTTCATGTATATACATCTCTCCCCCAGTATGTTTAAGGATTAGATGTGGATACCAGATACCAGTATCTATGAATAAAATTTTGTATACAAAGTTGTATAACACCCACTTTGTCTTCCCGAGGTTACTTATTAGCACCTAACATAAGTGTGTATGTACATAATGTGTGTGTCCATGAATAAATAAGTGTATAGAATGAATATGCATATATATATGTATATATGAGATGAATTTTAGAGAATATTCATTTAAAATACTGTCTGGTTTAGATGTGGTATAGTATTTCGTATTGTGCACAAAAAATTAGAAAGGGTCTAAAAATGATTAGTATCTGGCTTGTGGCCCAGAAGAAAGAAAAGCAGGGTCTGGCAGCATTTGGCAGTAATTTTCTATAAGACAAGTGGCCTTAGCTCTTTTTATTATTACATCAATTCTTTGACAGTAGCATTTCTGTTTATAGTACTGATTCTGCAGTACTGTTCTTGGAAGGAAAGCCAATTTTTAAGAAAAAAATTAGACAGTTGATACCTAAAAGAAATTATTTGAAGTACAAAAGATATTCAGAAGAACATTTAGGGGGAAAACTCTTATGTATTAGACATTTTAGCATTTCTTTGCTTGTAATTAAGAGTTTTAGCAGAATTTTCATGACATTCTTGGTTAATAGTGAGAGTTTGAGGTAGAAAAATTGGAAATAAAAGCCATCATTTTCCTAAACTCTTACTTGCCTAATTAAAAAGCTAATCAGCCTTGATATAAACATTTTATAGTATGTATTTTTATAAGATTTTCATGCTAGTAATATAGTAGTAATTTGTATCATACATTAAAGATCTTTTTAAGCTTGACTTAAATGTGATTGCTGAATAAGTGGTTTGAGCAATAAGAGTCAGAAGGGGAATGAAGAGATGGCTTAGCAATTAACTGCTTGCAGAGAACCTGAGTTTGGTTCCCAGCACCCATGTCAGGTGGTTCACAACTAACTCCAGCTTCATAAAATCTGATACCCTTTTATGGACATTTAGACACACATGCATATGTCTCAAGTAAGAACCCACAAAAGTCTATTTACCAGTTTAATAAGGGGTACAAAGAAAAGACAAACTCATGAATACAGAACAAAACAGATGCCACTGCTGATCCATCTGCCTTCATCCAGCTGTTCTGCCCAAGGGTGAAGAGCATCAACCACAAGCCTTTCCTGGCTCCAACAACACCAAGAGAGCAAACTCTTGACCCCCCTCCTCAGTTTATCCGGTCTATGCAGAGAAAACCATGCCCATGACAAGTCACTTCCAAATCTCATTGGCTAAACAGATTGAGTTCCACAACATAAATCACCACACAGACACATAAGTAATAAATCATAAAATATACCTTTTTAAAAGAATTGTTGTTTTAATTGGATTCTAGAGTGTCTTAATAGTTGAGGGAGAAGATACTTGCTTTGTCAGTAAGTTTTTTTAAGTCCTCTATTTCTAAAAATAAAATTTGGGGATGATAGTTATTTACTGAAAACTATTTTGTATGACTCAAGATCAGTAGGGATAATATCAGGTGTCCCTGTTTACTGGAATTCATATGTCCTGTTCAAGATAGATTATAAAGTGATAGGGCCACTGAAAGAATTTATACCTAATAGAAATATGTAATTTTGGGGGAGTTTTACAAAAAGAATTTATTAGAGGCAGAAAATACTCATATTTTTCTTAGTATTCAACAATTTTTGGTAATAATACCTGCTACATATAAAGTATGTTAGTTGCTGAAGTGTGTACAGTGTTGGACAAGAAACAAAGGTCTTTGAATGTAATATTACTAAGAAACTGATGTTTGGTGTCCTTCCTTAAACATATTATTATATTATTGAACATGTGTGTATATTTATAAAAGAAGGTTCTGATTATTGAGCTTACAGATGATAAAAACAGGTTCCAACAGCCTCACTTCTTTCCTTATAGGGCAGAGTAGATAAACTGGTAGGGACAGCAGAACTACTGTGGCAGTATATACTCAGCACTGGAGTCCTAATATGTCCTCGACACTGGCTTAAATGTTTTATATGTGTCATTTTATTTGGTTCTCATTTTATAGCCAAAGAAAGGGACCCCTAAGGGTAGACGTAGCATTTGACAATTCTGTTATTTTTGTTAACAAGTTAAAAATTATGTCTTGAATAATAACACAGATAGGTGGACTTGTAATTGATTAAAAGACCCTATCCAACGTTTGAATAGTAATAGACTTGTGTTAAATAAAGCAGCAAGGTCTAGAGTGATGACTCTAGAATCAGAGTTCAGATCTCAGCACCCACTTAACAAGCTGATGAATCTTGCTCACAGTTGTAATCTCAACACTGAAGGAAGTAAAGGCGTGAAGATCTCTGGAGATCCCTGGCTGCCAGTCTAGCCAGAGGGAGACATAAGCTTCGCCTTTGGTGAGAGACCCTGTTCCAAATGAACAAGGCAGCTTAGAAGACTACACCGGAGCCCTCCTCTGACTTCTACATTCACACATGTATGTATACCAGGGTGCATATGCCTGCCTGCCTGCCTCTCTCTCTCTCTCTCTCTCTCTCTCTCTCTCACACACACACACACACACACACACACACACACACACACACAGATGAAATAGCAGCACATTCTTAGTGGCATGCCTCAAGACACTACTTTCACTCATACAGTAAGTTTTGTTTTGTTTTGTTTTGGGGCAATGTCTGTCTTTTAGAATTAGAGTACTAGTTCATGTACAGAATCAGGATCCTCATCTAACCTTATTTTTAATAATTTGAACAACAGCCTGCATTTAAGAAAATATTTGAAATGTTTGAATCTGATACACAGGTTTTTGACAAGACTGCATAGATTTTTGACAAGACTGCTCTACAGTTAAGGACTTTAAAGCCTTCACAGATACAGAGTAGGAGATTTAGAGGGCAAACACCAGTGCTCTTGTTTGCATTAATTAATTAATTAATTAATTAATTAATTAATTAAGGCAAAAAATGTCTCCACTGGAATATGGCTCCTTATTTGTCTGAAGTTAGTGTGTCTGTGGTTTAACTGTCTCCAAAGTTAGTTAGCATCTACTTCAATTCTATTGATTTGAAGTCTGTTGTCTAGAACACATTTTTTATCATTTTCTTTTTTTTGCATTAGCTTAGGTTTTTAATTCTCTTTGCCACATTTTAAAGAGGACATTGGTAATTTATTTGGAGAATAATCATAAGTGATATCTTAAAACAGACACTTGGAAAGTAACCAGTATGTTTCATGTTGTTCATTCAGGAAGAAAGTCTTCAGTAGGATAGTGGTAATGCTTTTTAATTTGGGTACTTGGATGATGTCTAATGTGCTTCCTAACTCAAATCTGTAATTTTGTGAAACATACAAACTTGGATGGTACATAGATGATTAAATATACCTTGCAGTCCCAGAGGATGTAAGTAGGGAGAAGAATGAAAGTTAGAGGGGGTGACATGGGGTATTGCATCATAATGAAGACCTTCTCAGCAGTTTAAATGAAAGTAGAGAACTGTTTTCTTCATGTGCATTAAAGCAATCCTCTGAGTAGTGCTTACTCCTTTAAACTTTCTAGTTCCGACCTGGTTTTGTAATTACTTTAAAAATTTCTTCATCAACTATAATTCCAGTTGCCAAAACTTTCACTTAGGCACTTGCTTTCATTTACTTGTAACATTTATGAATTTTTCTAATATCACATGTTAATAGGGAAATCTATACTTTCTTGATTTTCAGTCTCTGAAAATAGGCCTTATTGTTTGTTAACCATTATATTTAAAAAAATTGTGATCATCCTGCTTCAGCCTCCGAAATAGCTGTGATTAAGGTCTGTGCTACAAGGCCTACTTCATCTCTATATTTCTTAATAATATCCTCCCCCAATTAAATTTTTTTATTACATTTACTTATTGTATAGGTGTGTTGGTTGGGGGGATGGTACCCATGTATGGTGGTTGGAAGACAACTTACAGGAGTTGGTTCTCTCCTTCCACCTTGTGTGTTGTCAGGGGTTTTATTGTAAGTACTTTACCTATTGGGCCGCCTAATTTCTTTTTGCTTGTGTCTCTGTACATGCCAATTTCTTTGTCTTTTCTTTTTACCTTGCCATACTAGTATTTATAAACACAAATAATCTAGTGAAAAAATGTATTTTAGTGTGTTTGAGCAGTAGTGGAAGTTAGACATCAGCTCATCCTCCCTACTTCCTATAAAGTCTCTGTCATGCTTAATGAGGGGTCACCATTCACTTAGCATGCCTTAAAATCAAGCCGCTATTGTCATCTGTTTTGATTGACTTTTAATCAGGGGAAGCATGGGACAGTAACAGAGATCTCTTTACCTTCAGTGAAGCTAAAGACTTCCATTATGAGAAGATTTTGTTGCTGCTTCATGTGGGGTGGGAGGTGGGAGGGTGTGTTGGGTATCTCTCTGTAATGCAAATTACTATTCTCCAGTTACTATTTTACTTAAAATTAAAAAATAAAATATCTTGTGTGAATTTACAGAGCATATCTCTACTAGAAAAATGTCATGAGAACTAGGTGTGTAATCTTGTGTCATGCTATCATGTAACACTATATTCATTTGCTCCTATTTAGAAGCCAAACATCCAGTATATATTAATATAATTGTACTAATGACAACTGGGTAATTCAGTCATTGGATAACCCAAATGTGGCATAAAGTTATTTTTTTATCACCACATACATTATTATACCTTAATGGGAGTTAAATGCTAGTGTGATCTGATAGTTTTCCAGGAAACTCCTTTTTTTTTTCCTTCAAGACAGGCTTTCTCTGTAGCTCTGGCTGTCCTGGAACTCACTCTGTAGACCAGGTTAGCCTCGAACTCTCAGAGATCCACCTGTCTCTGCCTTCTGAGTGTAGGGATTAAAGGTGGTAGGTGTACCACTACTGCCCTGCCAGGAAACTTATTTTAAAGTCCTTTTTCATACGTATTTCAGTATAGACTACAAATAAAAGCTATTTTTATGCTGCTTCTCCTTCTCTTCCTCACCAAATGGCCACCGAGGGTGCAGCAGGATTGCCCAGAGAATCTGGGGGTGCAGGATTAGGAGGTCTTCCATGGAGGCAGCATTTTAGGGGCTGTGGCCATGGGGCTCATGATAGTAAAGCTGAAGGAAAGGAGTGTATCCCTGTCACCACGCTGGGCCACCTGATTAAGGACATGAAGATCAAAGCCCTGGAGGAACTCTACCTGTTCTCCCTGTCCATTAAGGAATTCCAGATTAGTGATCTCCCACCTCCCCCCAGGTGTATCTCTAAAGGATGAGGTTTTAAAAATCATGCCAGTGCAGAAGCCTACTCGGGCTGGCTAGCAGACCAGGTTCAAGGCTTTTGATGTTATTGGAGACTGCAGTGGTCATATTGGTTTTAAGTGCTCCAAAGAGGTAGCCACTGCCATCTGAGGGACCATCATCTTGGCCAAGCTTTCCATTATCCCTTTGCAGAGAGACTCCTGGGGGAGTGAGATTGGCAAGCCCTACACTGTTCATTGCAAAGTGGCAGGCTGCTGTGTTTTGGTGTTGGTACTTCTCATCCCTGTCCCCAGAGGTACTGGCATAGTTTCTCTCCTGTTCCCAAGAAGCTGCTGCTGATGACTGCTACACTCAGCCAGGGGCTGCACTGCCACCCTGGGCAACTTTGCCAAGGCCACCTTTGATGTCATTTCTAAGACCTATAGCTATCTGATCCCCACCCTCTGGAAACGGAGACTGTGTTTGCCTAGACTCCTTATCAGGAATTCACTGACCATTTTGTGAAAACCTGCACCAGAGTCTGTTCAGAGGACCAAGGCTCCAGTTGTACTCTCCACATAAGGTTTTTTATGCGAGGAAAAATAAAGTGAATTAAATCTTACAAAACAGCTATTTTCATGTAACTTTATTGTTAAGTATACATAATTTTAACTTCTAAAGTCAGTGATTTTGAGGATATACCCTTAAGTTGCCTTTATTGTCTCAGAACCCTGTTGCTTATTATTTTATTCCCAACACTTCAACAGTGTCTAATATAGAGCAGATGCCACATGTTGTATTAGTGAGTATATCGATAACTGAGCCATATGGATACACCAAAGATCTAAGAAGAATTGGATGATTGTATTTTTTCCGTCTCTGCAGTAAGTTTATTTCTATTTTGTCTCAGTTATACAATGTTTGTCAAAACCAGAAAGTTGTTTTGGTTGGCTTCCAAGATTTACCTGAAAATGACTGGTAAGAATCTTAGTTTCACCCAGTAGTGGCGGTGGATGCCTTGAATCCTAGCACTTGGAAGGCAGAGGCAGGCAAATCTCTAAGTTCGAGTCCAGCTTGGTCTACAGAGTAAGTTCCAGGACTGCACAGAGAAACCCCATCTCAAACAACAACAACAACAAAAACAATTACACAATTTTTAGAAAGTTAGTATTTAGGGCTAGAGAGATGGCTCAGTGGTTAAGAGCACTGGCTAGGCTCACAACCAAAAAATATAAATACAGGACAACTTTCCTAGAAAGCCTAAAGCTTTTTAAGAAAGCATTCTCTCTCTCTCTCTCTCTCTCTCTCTCTCTCTCTCTCTCTCTCTCTCTCTCTCTTTCTCTTTCTCTCTCTGCCTCTGCATGTGTGTTTGTGTTGTATTATGTGTGTATATATGGGTTAGAGAGCAGCTCATAGACATTGACTACCTCTTTATGGATTCCAGTGATTGAGTCATCTCACCAGCTGAAAGCTAAAAAACTTTAAGCTACTGTTTTATAGTTTGTACATTTTCTTATTTGAAGTTAATCTTAAATATCAAGCTTTTAAAAACTACTTGTAGTTCAGTTTTCCTCACCTATACAAATTAAAACATACTATTACTTCCTCAAAGGAATGTTATGAGAATTAGATGAGTTATACATGAAGCTCTCACAGCAATCCTTGACACACTTAAGTGTTCTTTGAAAGAAATTATTCTGAGCCAGGCATGGTGGCACATGTCTGTAATCCCAGCTCTCAGGCGGCTAGACAGGATTGGGAGTGGGAGGCTAGTTTTGGCTACAGAGTGAGACCTGGTCACAAAGAGCACAAACCAAACCAGGAAAACAAAATAGCTGATCACTATTATTAAAGTACATACTTAAACAAGGGCAGTTTTTCACTTACCAGATTGACAAAGATTAAGCAGTAATGGCAAGGATGTGTAGAATTCCTCTGCTGTACCATGGGCAGGAGTAGAAGCATGCACAATTTCTTTGGAAGGTGAGTTAACTTCCTGAAGTGATAAATGTTCATACTTTTTAATTCAGTCATTTTTAATGATTTTTCCTTTGTTCATTATAGTATTAATTATATTATCAAAAGCCATAAACGACTCTTAATGTGATGTGGTTAAAAAATAATGACACAGCTACACACTGAGGTGTTATATAGCTATAAAATGAAAGAAAAGGAGCATTAATATGTTCATCTTAAGACACACACCCCCCTTATTTTGAGACAGTATCTCCCT